CAGGGAGGTTGGTACAGCCGCCCCCTCCAGCTCCCTCCTCCGTCACCTCCACGGGGCGATGGAGACCGACCTCACGCCTCCTCCTCCTCTGCCTAAGCAGCAGCACGTGGGGTTGGGTTGCCCGTTTCCATCTCAAGCCGTCCACACTTCTCCATCAGCGGCAGAGCTTCGCACCTACACCTGCGGCTTCCCAACAGTTACAAAGACGGGACCTCAGCCCATACGCAATTATTTGCTGCCCCGACGCACAAAAGGCAACAGCAGATTTGTTTCAAAACACCTTTATTAGGTGTGGACACAGGTCAGGCTTTGCCCAGGGGCTTGGTTTGAATTACTTATGCTGCAAGATGCTCCCCCCTGCTCCTGCCCCCAGGTCCCTGCCGCAGCCTCTCCCAGTGCCGCGGGGCACCCTGGCTGCAGGGGCACCCTCCACCGCCCCTCAGCAGCAGCTCAGCACCATCCAGCCCAGGCACACAACCACCAACTAAGTGGCTTTTTTAAAAAAACCTTCCTGTAATATCACCGCTGCCTGGGGGGGGGTGAAGGCAGCACAGGGGAGCGAGCCGGCAGCCAGCTGCCCTCACAGGAAACACTCACAGCTTTTGTTGCTGAGGAAAGGTTAATTTGTGCTCTTGCAAAATGAACCTAGCTGGGAAATGCACAATGGCAGCAGCTGGACCCTGGGCACCCTCCTCTCCCACCACCACTGGTGTTTCACCCACACTGCTCCACCGTCTGCGCACGAGGGCTGGGCTGTAACGAAACCAGCTCCAGGCTCCCCAGGCAGAGATCGCGGGTGCCACATCCCGCTCCCCACCCGCCAGGCAAGCCCAGGGACACTGCATTTCTCATCCCAAAGAGCAGATCTGCACTACCCCTCCCACAGCTCATCTCAGAGATTTACCGTGCGTTTGCCAAGATATCCCAGCCTTTGGCTTCCAGTGTTCAGGCTGAAGCTCTTTGGGAACACAGACTGCACCAAACTGTGACAGTTTAGCAAGGATTAAAGGGGTTGAGGCTGGGCTTTTTTAAACCTAGTGTTTGGATCAGTTCCTGGCCGCGTGCCTTCAGGCTCCAAGTTATTAACCTTCTGCTTCAAATAACAAGCAACAGAAATAAAGAGAGTGGAAAGGGGGGACAAGCATACATGCTGTATAGGAAAGAAGGTGGCAATATATATCACACCATACATTTAACACACTGCTCATAATCATCATTAAAACTTGCTGGAACACAGAAAACAAAACCTACCCAGAAGGCTGATGACTTCCTCTGTAAATCAGTGGCTTGCTCGAGATCCCCCCTGCTCTTAGGGAGGTGCGTACACAAATTAGCCCTGAATTTCAAGTCCATTTTGCAGCAGTGGAAATGCCTGTGAGCTGGTTCCCGTCTGCACAGGGCACCTCCGACCCGCTCCCTGCCTGCTGCCCCGGACAGCGGGGAGGTGGAGCAGAGCTGGGCTGAGCTGGGGGAGCAGCAGTCCTGTGGCAGGGAGGTGAAGGTGGGATGGAAGGTGTAGCTGACAGGCATGGGGCTCTGCCTGGAGGGAGCTTCGCCGTCCCACCACACAGGGACAGAGGGTTTAGCTCCAGCTCCTGCCAGCTCCAGCTCCACAACAGTCCGAGTCCTTTAACGGGAGAAGTTCAACGCCCACAGCAATAAACAGGAACAGCAGATTCGCAGCCCAGCACAACTGTATTAATTCAAAGGCGTATATTATGGAGTGTTTAACTGTTCTGTAAATACTGAACCTGTAGAAAGCAGCATGAGGGAAAGTGCTAGTTAAATAACCTTTATCACCTCTGCTCCCCAAGAGTTTTCACAGTGTCACAGAAGACACAGCCCAGCTCCCCAGGAAGGTGGGGAAACAGAGCACGGCTCAGGAGTTACAGCACTGACAGCACAAGCCAGGGGCCTGCTTTAAAAAGCTGGGAGATCTCTGATGGGCTTTCTGGGAACAGGGGACCATGCCTGGATTTTAGAGGTCCAAACCCTAGGAACAAGAATTTCTCCATAGGAAGCGGCAGGCTGAAGGCGATCTTACCACAGCGTGGCCCTCACAGCTTGCCTCAGCAGTGGAAGCTGAACTGGGATCACACCCACAGAAGACTGGACCCTGAGCAACAAGGACTCCTGTGCCTGGAGCCAGTTTTTGCTTTAAAAAAAACTTGAAGACAAACCAGACCATCAGCCTCTTTTCAGTTAATTCTCACCTATCCTATACACTCCAGTCCACCCTTTAAAACCATGGCCAACGTGGGGTTATTCTTTAAGCTGAAGGAGGGTCAATTTAGATTAGATGTTAGAAAGAAATTCTTTACTGTGAGAGTGGTGAGGTACTGGAACAGGTTGCCCAGAGAGGCCGTGGATGCCCCCTCCCTGGAAGTGTTTAAGACCAGGTTGGATGAGGCTTTGGGCAACGTGGTCTAGTGGAGGGTGTCCCTGCCCGCAGCAGGGGGGTTGGAACTAGATGGTCTTTGAGGTCCCTTCCAACCCAAACCATTCTGTGATTCTATGATTCTATGAAATAAGCATTGCCACACTAGCCTGCTAAAACCACTTGTGCTAGCCACTGACCACAACTCAACTCATGCTTCCACTTCTGTGAGGTGTTATGGTTCTTGTTTTAAACTTCCAAATTATTTTAGTGCTTCCCAAGAGACCTCCCTCTCTGTGTTTCGATTCTGAACAGCAAGTGCTTTGTAATTGGGAATGACAGCACCCCAAGGGTGGGCAAGACAAGCACAGTAGCCCACAGGCAGCAAACATCTGTAAAAATCCTCATGCTTTTTATTTTCCTCCCTCTCGAGGGCAGCCCCTTGTTCAAACAGGGCCATCTCAGAGTCCTCCAGAGCCTGTTCCTGGCAATCTTTGACAGGGAATTTAAAGCTGGCTAATCCTGTCCACGACATTATTAATTAGCTTGCAATGCTGTGACACGGCATAAACATATTAGCAGGCTCTCTCCTCTGTCTTTATCCCCACTTCTCCCCCAAATAAACAACAAAACCCAAAACCAAACATGGGTGAAGTGCAGTGCAATGAGCTACTTTTTGACTAGGTGGAAGGAATTAATTTCTTGTATTGCTAGTACATGCTGCATGGACAACAAAGACTGATCATCCGAAGATAACATTATGGGGAAAAATATCAAATTTCATGGTCATTTGTGGGCTGGAAGTGATTTAAGAAACACCCAGTATAAATCATAGCTCCAAGAGACAGTTTCATTTTTCTCTGCAGTTCCACCTTTCTATTTCTGAGGTCTTCTGGGTTACAGCTGTGCCAGTTTCCCTGCATTTCCTGATGCACAACCCAGGCTGCTCAAAGGCACATGAAAATAAACGAGCAGTTCTCCAAGAAAGCAAAACTACTCAGGAGAACACACAAAAGACTGGAAGGAAAAGAAACAAAACAAAAGACACATTCAAAAAGGTTAACAAATCTTGCAGTTGAAGAACACAAAAGTTATGACAAACATTTGAGCTCCCACCAAAGATAGAGCTTTAACTGCTCTATCTATCATCTCAGCTATTTAAGGGAAGCAGATGACTGCCTGGTCATACTGCCCTGCACAAGCCTTTTCCAGGTCTTACGCTTGGTTTCTGGGTCTGATCTCCAGCAAGGAGCATCAGCAGAGCTGGGATGCAGCGAGAGAAGAGAAAAGTCCGGCAGAGCTGCTTCTGTTCGCTTACTGCAAGATAAAAGAAATGGCAGAGAGGAAAAAACAAAGACATGGAAGAGCTGTATTGTAAAATCAGTACAAGGCAACAGAACGTGAACATTGGACATCAGGGACAAGGAGATAACATGGAAAACAGAGAACAACAGGAAATAGGAAGAAACAAATAACATTCCCTGGAAAATTCTGGTCTGTGACACCTTGGTAAAGCACATCAACTTCAACCATGCTAGGATTTCACCTTCAGTACTTTAAATTAATCCATATCTACTTTCTGCTATAACGTGCCTGGCCCAAAGGCCAGTCTGGAGGCTTTCAGGCTTGTAGATGGTGAAAATAAAACAAACAAACAAAAAATAAAGCTACGAAGTCTCTACTTTCATCCCTTCAAAGACACAAAGGCAAAGGGGGTGACATTTCCCATACAAGCTGAGCAAAGCAGAGGCAAACATTGGCAGTCATTACACCACTAACGAGGTGAGCCCCCGACACAGTCAGACAGGAACGTCATACAGAGGTTGTTGTAATAAGTGGGATATGCCCGCATATGGCTGACGTGAGCCGAATCTGAGAAGTCTACAGCTTTCACGGAGACACCAAGCTGCTGCCGGGCATCAGCCATGTCCTTAACTTCGCTGGCCTTGATGATGGCATCGGCTTGGGAGTAGAGGTAAAGCTCAGGCCACCGCGAGGGTGCTTTCAGCAGGGCGTCGTAATGGCTCTCGTGGATGAAACGGGTCAATGGGTACAGCAAGATCCGCAGCACGACAGCTGTAGTAGCAAAAGCGAGTAAGAGGAAATACTTGAGCAGCACATTCGTGGATACCAAGACAGTTGCCAAGGCACGAAGGCCTCCTCTCAAGTTCCTTCTGCCAGGGGCACTATCAAAAATGGTGCCTGCTATTTTGAGGTTCTTAAATGGCTTGTGAGTGTGGAGTGCCTCAATGATGTAACGGTACAGCATGACACCACCATTGCTAAAAACATGAAAAAGAATTGGTCTGTTTTCAATGCTGTAGTCAAAGAGCAGCTCCAGGAGTTGCCTGGCCGGGGTCCGGAGGGATCTGATGCCAAAGGTTTCAGAGAAGAATATCATCTTCCATGAAGCTGTGTAGCGGATGACGGTGCAGCCCTAAGAAGAACAGAAAGAGACCCCACACATATTTAGGCTGTGCTGTAAGTTACATGGAGTAGGCAAGCATTGGTACAAAGAACGTGAAAATCTGGGACAGGTTTGCAACAGAAACCACAGGGCCAGAAGAAAGTCTTTAGTGTCAGTAGCAAGGCACCAATATGAATAGGATTATATTAATCACAACAGCACACAGTATTATGAAAAGGTTGCTGCAGCAGCAGAGGCTTGGATTTGACGATGTTTGAGATCCTTTCAAATCTTGTGCTGACTGGCCCAGCCCCTGGGGACATTGCCACCCAGGCTTTTATGAGCGTTAGTCTTCACCCAGGAAGAGAAAACGATGTCCCTGATTCACAAACCTTCAGTATCAGCCATTTTGGTCAGAAGGGCCTGCTCTGGTACACATCTAGTTCATGACATTGAACCAAACATAAAGAGGAGTGGACCTTCTCCCTGTCCTTGGGCAGTACTTGTTCGCAGCTGTCTCTAAGACCCACCCACAATCAACACTGACTTGATTTTCATAAGCCTTTCTGAAATGCTCCAGCTATGCAAATGAAGAGCACTGGTTCAGAGATTCAGAATGCCTGAGCAATTGCCTTTACAGTTACAGCCTTACATTTAAGTACAGATTGGGAAACATGATCTTGGAGGAGTTTCTAAATAAGAGCAGATGGAACTATATTCATAAATGCTTCAGATCTTTTCTATCACCTGCGCTAACTGACATTACACACTGACAAACACAAGGCAAAGCCACCGAGACAGCCCTCCCGCCCAGAGCTCCCTGAACAGTGAACGAGGAAGAAGAGGCTATCAAGTTCTTAAATCAAAGTCTTCTACACCGTCTTGCCATGGTTACAGCCACTTCCTCATTAGGAATCTACGAAAACCCTTTCTCTCCTTTCCCGTTCCTATCATCTTTCTAATAGAAAAGTATTTTCAAAAAAAGTTGGCATGCTGCCATGTAACGCACTCCTCATCTGCTCAGAAGCATCTCTTAGTCACAATAGTCACTTAATAATTAATTCTTCACTAGAGCAAGCCAATTCACGACTCTTGCACTGGATTACACATTAACAATAGATTTGTTAATGTACAAACTTTGCCACCTATAGCTGAAGCAGATCTGGATAAATCCAAGAACCTTGTATGCTCACCCAGGAAAAAAAAAAAAAAAAGTAATCTGTTTCACATACTACAAGCTGGGGTCATTCCTGTAAAATACAGTATTAGAAAGGAAATTATCATAACTTAGGGAAATAGCAATCGAATAGACCTCCCTGGTTCTGGTTCCCTGGAAGTGTTTAAGGCCAGGCTGGATGAGGCTTTGGGCAACCTGGTCTAGTGGAGGGTGTCCCTGCCCGTGGCAGGGGGGTTGGAATGAGATGATCTTTGAGGTCCCTTCCAACCCAAACCATTCTGTGGTTCTATGAAACACAAGGAGCTCCTAGTGGGCAGGTATGACTACCATAGGATGCCTGTTTCAGACAGGATAAAATTAATTCAGATTCCAACATTTAGATGAATCATCCTGACAGGAAGGAAAAGCTGAAGGAGCGACAGATGCTGACGTGCTCTGTCAGCCCTCAGCCTGGCTCACCAAGTCTGTGTTGTGGCCTATTGGCAAGCAGTAAATACATCATCTTTCCCTGTATGTTTACCTGTTTGGAAAGCTAACATAGTTCATGTCATTCCTGAACAACCTCACAACTTTAAAAACGTTAAAACGCTCCAGTGATTCACACAACAGTGAACAAGTTTCTCCAAGGAAGTATTTTTGTCTCAGCTGCACGCACAAAGATGACATCGGCACCCGTTAGATAACGCTACCTGGGCTGTGAGAGACAAGGAGCTTTCAATGAGAAGAGAACTCACCACTCACCCCCAAAGACTCTTCAGACTGAGAGAGGCTTTTGAGCAATTTTACCAACATGCAGAAAAGAGGCAGTTTCTCGGAGAGCTGAATGACAGTGTCATGAAAATATAAATAAGCTACTCACCTTCTGACTGTAGATTGTGCTGTATTTGGCCAGGTATTTGTCCTGGCAGCCTGCCCAGCCTAGAAGGATCACCACAGGCTGACCATCTGCATGTTCTCTCTCTGTACTGCTCTCTGAAACAAATCACAAACTTAAAAAAATTGTCCTCCAGTCTACCAGAATCAGAACTTACAGGAACTTGCCTAGTTAACGAAGTTTAAAGGTAACGGTGAAGCCGGTATCAATTTCTCAATCATGAATACTGCCTCATCCCAGTTTCACTACGTGGGTGTGCTCAGTAGGACAGCAGCTTCAGTCCCTGCAGCTTCCCAAAGCTCTCCACGGGTGCAGAGCCAGCAGCGCACGGATCGCTACGGGGGGCACAGACCCCCTCCTCACGCCTCCCGGGAGCCGGGGAGGCCTCAGAGACTGCTGCCCACTTCCAGGGGGAAAGGGAAGTGTCCTGCCCTGCCCTCCAGCAACTACCAGACACCCGGTACGGCACCAGGGTCTACACAGCACGCCACACCGTGACGGCTCCCCCAGGCCCGGTCTCCCCGTCTCCACCCTCGGGAATCCCCCAGGCCCGGTCCCCCGTCCCCCTCCACCCTCAGGAGCCCTTCAGTCCCTCCTGTCATCGGGGC